AAGTTTTCACGATTGGACATGGAAAAATCAAATGGGAATGACTCAAAATAGGAACAATTATTTAAGGAATCCAAAGAAAAGAAAAGTAGGGGATATCACAAATCTGGGAAAAACCCCGGTGGACTCCCAACTATCCTACTGTTTGGCTTTATGTCTTTTGAAATGATTTAATCTAATATTTCAATCTTGTAAATTATTTATGATTTAGGACTCATGTTTACGCAATATCGGATTGTGCAAATAGCCTAAAAAGATAAGAGGATTTACACCGTACCGCACGGTAACCTCGAAATCCTAAAACGTTAGGACTTGTAATTGTACAACAAAGTTGTACAAAAAGCCTAAAGAGTGATCCTACTAAAGAAGGTGTTAGGTGATGTGAATGTGTTCATGTGATGTGAAGATGTTTCGTTACTGCAGATCCACTTGGAAATTGATCCGCGCCGCGCTGCCCACGATGTTCGCTCCGAACTCCTCGTAGTAGCACCTCCTAGTTTGGTTTTAGTTTTGAACATGCTCCTAACCACTAGGTTATTCTAAACTAAGACATAACATATCAAAATAACTAAGCATGCAGTATGAAAGAACAATAACAATGTACTGTACAGTAAAGAGAAAAGACAATATAATATACTGAAAGAAGAACATGACGTGTTGTAAAGAGTAGTATAACATGCTAGAGAAGCAGTATAACAGGCTATGAAAACAATATAACATGCTTTAAAATAAAATGCTGTAATATAAATTAAATCTGTACACCTGAAAGATTCATTACTTCTTTAAATTTAGCTATTATGCTCTGTATAGATGTTGTAATATAAATTAAACCTGTACACCTGAAAGATTCATTACTCCTTTAAATTTAGCTATTATACGCTGTGTAAAAGAGGAAAGTATGACCTGAAATAGACTTAACAGAAACAGGTAAATCATAAGAAAAAGACAAACAAATAAAATAAAATACAACATCACATATAAAGGACCAAGGATAGGAAATTTATATGTGATACTAGAATGTCCCCAATTGCCAGGAGAATTTGAGTGTAGGACAAACTCAAATCCCGGAGCATTGGGTTTCAGTGTTGGTCAAGTTAAGGTAAGAATTTCATTATTTGATTTAATTAAATCAGTCATGAGTCACAATCTAGTGCACCCTCGTGCCTAGTGTCCTACTTATCTCCTAAACTGAGGTTAAATATCTAGCTTCTTAGGATCATTTGAAAATTAGGAGGATGAACTCTCTCAATGTGTGCCCTTAAGGTCTAGGAAACCTACACTTTAGTTTGGGCCTGAAATGTCTTAAAGTGTCTGATTTCAACTAAATGTCTTTCAACTAACTCTCAAACATCTTTAGATTAAGCTTAGCTCACCATCAAGCTCCTAAAACCTAGGGGGGTAAACCTATAGTTTTGATAAAAGGGTTGTGAGATGTGTTTCAAACCTAGTTAGAACAATTGGATTTAAGTTTTATTCAAAGCTTAAGGGGCCTAAGTGCAGGTCTACAAATATTTCCAATCCACGTCCCTAATTGTTATCTAAACTCTCACTTTCTTCTAACCCCCAAATATTCTTCCAATTTACAGTTTTATCTTTCATATGCAAAAAAAAAGAACGGTAGATGGTTTGCTACCCTATCCCCCTTTAGGTTTTATCACCTCGAAGATTCAAATCTTATTTTTAATTTTCTCTCAATTTCTCTTTCCC